GAAAGAGACTGGGTAACCATTTGTCTGAAATGATATAAGTCCCTTGCTCAAGTAGGGGGCTGCAGTCGAGGTCTCTTCCAACTCTGTTATTCTACGTTCTATCGTCTAATAGTGTGACTCACTATGCAGACTCTCCGAATGTTTATAGAATTCTCTTTTTGCCTACAAAATAAAAGTGAACAAAGAAAGGTCTAGGTGTTAATGATCCCTCGTTAAAGATGTTGCCAATACGTAAGGAGAGGTTTGATAAAATAAAATGAGTTGGAGTAAATTCAAGTGCCAAGTGAGATATTCTTGCCTGACATTGCTGTGGATTATTAATGATTATAATCAGATTCATGTCCTATCACGATTCTTGAGGTTTAATCTGTAATAATTGTTCATTGATTGGACTATTTTTTTCCCCCTCAAAGCGATTCGTGTCATAACCTTACGACAATTCTCTGAGTAGATGGTATCCTTGGATATAGTATGGAAATTTCAAGTGGTATCAAGTTCTGTAAACCAATTATTATTGGCAAGAGTAAAAAAAATTGCAATCATTTTACCATTCCTAAAACAATTTCCTTGGTTAACTGCTGGTTTCCAAATTCTATTCATCTTCCTGATTTAAACAACTTCCCTGAGCTGGAACGGCTACCTGCCAGCAGGACTCTTAATATCTATCCTGAACAATCTTGTATATTTGCAGAGAATTGTGTTAACATCTTTAGGAATAAAATTACTATCCACAAAGAAGTCTCTTTAGAGACTAGCCCATTTTATTACTGCTATTTTTGCTGCATAATTTTGTATGGAGTTTGCAGCAGTGGTGGGATGCTGCTGGTTTGCACCGGTTCTCATGAATTGGTAGAGCTGGTGAGCAATTGGCCCTGCCCACCTGGCCCCGCCCTTTCCTGTCCTTTATTTCCTTGGTTTTGAGCTCAGCTGATTCGCGAAGCTCAAAATTGGTGGGTTTTTTAATTGCTGCGCATGCACGCAAAGCAGAGGTGGTAGTTCTGACCAGTTCTGGAGAACCGGTAGCAGAAATTTGGAGTAGTTTGGAGAACTGGCAAATGCCACCTCTGACTGGCCCCGCCCCCATCTATTCTCTGCCTCCTGAGTCCCAGCTGATTGGCTGGGTCTTCTTTGGTTGCCCTGCACGGGAGATCGGAGCTGGAAAGCAGGTTAGTGGGGTGGGGAGGGAATGGGGATTTTGCAGTATCCTTCTCCTTCCATGCCCACCAAGCCATGCCCACCAAGCCACACCCACCAAGCCACGCCATGCCCACCAAGCCACGCCCACAGAACTGGTAGTAAAAAAAATTGAATCCCACCAATGCCGCGAAGCGCTCTCTCATAGAACTGGTTTTAAAAAAGTTTGAATCCCACCACTGGTTTGCAGTTGCAGAAGAACACATGTGAGTACTCTAGAGACACCTGGCTTGGCAGCTATGCTGAGAAACAATATATTAGACTAAGATGGGCCTTGGTCTCACTCAATAAAGTGTCATCGTGGTCTTATACACCAATGTATAAAGCTGCATCTTTGGTTGAAAAAGATTGGAAAGAAAGTTAACCATCGAGTGTCCAAATTTTACAGGCAGGGTTTCAATTGTGCAGCTGCAACTGCCCTCTTGACTTTTTTTGACTGATCCTGCTTTTCAAAACATATATTTCTAACTAGGCAAGACATACAAAAGATGTCATGTTTTATTATAATTTTATTATAATCACCGTCTGCACTGAATTAAGGAGCACATTTTCTGACTCTGTCTGACAGGAAGTCCAGATGCAGGTGAAAGTCTTCCAGAAAATCAACCAACTTTCCCAATGTCCAGGAAATGACTCCCAGAACTCAGCCTTGTGCTGGAAAACCCAGACTACACACATTGTTTTCAAAAAGAAACAGCTGCTTTTGTGCTAGATAAATATCTGAAAATGGCCATTGACCCAGTGACGTTAGCAGCCTCCATCGCTGCGGTGCAAAACTGCAACTTCTGAAAAATAGGAATTGCCTGAGGCCATGAGGGATGGTTGTGGGGGCTAAGGAAGGGGTTTTGCAGTGGAGCTTGAATAAAGGTATATATTTCAGCACAGCGAAATTGGAGGGGAGAAAAGCAGGAGTATCTTGTGGTTATGCAAAGTGACCAGGTCAGCTACTCTTAAGGAAAACCTGCGCCATTTCTATAACCTTTTCTCTCCTGGGAAAGTCATATGTTTGTAAGAAAGACCCCCAAAATTGGTGTTTTGTTTTATTTTATAAGAGATCAGGGTGTGGCGGTCTGTGTTCATGATGTCTCTGTTCTTAACACAAAGGTTGCTGTCTGGGCGTACACATAGACCATGAGAAGCCCCCACCCTCATCCCAGAGGAATGAAATATTTTGGGAAAAATATCAAAAAAAGGCAGAATATTATATTTCCCCAAGGGGAAAAATGGAGAAACATGTTTTTTAGAGGTAGAAAGCAGCCCCCAAGTCTTTCTTAATAGCCCACAGCAGATGCCAACACTTAAGAGATAAAGAGCTTATTGAAAGAGGAAGACAAGTATCTAAATAGCTCTATTCATAAGCAAAGCCAAAACTGCAGGCAGAAATCCATTCAAGACAGGATATTTTGAAACTCCTTGCGGCAAAGTTTGACAGTTATGAACAGACTAGGAAAGTTGCATGATCTTGTAAGAATTCTCTAAGCTTCCACTAGAAGCAATACAAAATAAATGCGATGAACTTGTAGATTACAACCGTCTTTAAGTCATGAAGACAATGAAAGTATTCTCTGCTAAGGGCAACTATAAAATTATGTACAAAATTAGACCTTCGCAGTTTCATCAGCTATCTTTCTTGGAACCCAGTTAAGCAGAATGGGGCCTGGTTAGTAGACAGGACACACCCAGGGCTTCAGGCTAGACCAGTGATACCAAACCGTTCCGGCCTTGCGGGCCAAAAGTGCGCATGCACACCATCACCCATAAGGCAATGCACGTGGGGGCCCCCATGCCCCTGCACATGTGCGCAGGACCCCCCACACATGTGCTGCGCAACTCTGCACATGCACGTGTGACCCCTCCCCCACACCAGGGGTGGGATTCAATTTTTTTAACAACCGGTTCTGTGGGCGTGGCTTAATTGGTGGGCGTGGCTTGGTGGTCATGTGACTGGCTGGGCATGGCCAACTCAACATCACTCACATCAAGGCACGCATCTCCTCTCCTGGCCTCTCATGACTGGGGGATGCTGCAACAGTCGTAAGTGTGAAAAATGGTCATAAGTCACTTTTTTCAGTGCCATTGTAACTTTAAATGGTCACTCCACACAAGCAAAGTACCAGCAAAGGAGGGGAAAAAAAACCCAGAGACGTTCCTGAGACAGGAAGTCTAGTCCTGCCAAGAATGTAATAAGGGTTAACGGAGAGGCAGTTTCTGTAAGCAACACCAGAATGTTTCCTTCCTGCCTTCCTTACAGGATTAGGCCAGTAATTTCTTCTAACAACCAGTTCTCCAAACTACTTAGAATGTTAACAACCGGTTCTAGCGAATATGTGCGAACTGGTAGAATCCCACCTCTGCTCACCACCCTCTGTAATGTCTTTCTATCCACGTCTGTCAAGCCAGCATACCACACCGTAATGCAATATGAGAGGACGCTTTCTATTGTGGACCGGTAAAAGGAGGTCATCAGTCGCTATTCCACTTTATTCTTTTGCAAGACCCTAAGGAAATGGAGTCTCTGTTGGGCCTTTCTCGCCACCCGGTTGTGTTGATTTTTGTGTTGATCTTCGCTGAGGTAGATTCCCAGGAATTTAAAGGAGGAAACTCTGAGATGTCATGATACAAATTCCACAACATCATAGGTAGGTATAGAAGGGATGGTTGATGCAGAACTGAGTCCACAATGAGTGTGCATGTTTGCCCAAAAAAAATCAAACAAACTACAATATGGGAGATGTAATAAAAGAGATTGATCCTCCCCGCTAGCAGTTGCCTTTGTGCAGAACCAAGCATCGATTTCATTTTTTTTTTTAAAGAAACATGTGGCTCCTTTCTTAATCACAAGTTTTATTTTAATGCTATTGCAAACAAGATCTTTCTTAATCCGGTGTGTAATTCATTCAAAATAATCTCTTCAGATATCACTCTAATCCCTTTTATTGAGGTTGGCTGGGGGTATGTGAGGAGATGAAAGGGAAATGAGGAAAAGGAGAGAGATGAAAGGAGAGAGTTGAACAAATCAAAATTCTCATCCCGTTAAAATGCCACAATATTTTCATCTGTAGATGGCTTCATTCTAATAGAGGGAAATGTTTCTTTTCCCCTTAAAATTTAATTGGAAGGATTCTTTGCAGCTGATGCCTTAGAAGAAACAGCTTTTTACAGAAGAAATATGCAAAAAGAGAAGAAAGAAAGAAAGAACAAAACCTGTCACTGAAGTATTTTTGTGTGGTGGAGCAATAAACTTCACTAAGCCAGGTCAAATGCTTTTTGAACCAATGTTTCCAGCAAGATCAGTTTTCCCTCCTGTTTGTTCTGTTTCCATGGATCTCATCTACACAAAGGAGGAGGAGGAAGAGGAGGAAGAGCCAAGTAAACAGATTTCCCACAAATGTTTCATCCCCAGAGAATTTTTTCCCCTCGTAATAGGATGTTATGCATAATAACCAAATAATGAATGGGTGAGACTAATGCAACTCCCTTGTGAACATAAAAAACATAAAAAAGATGGATCAGATCAAAGGCCTGTCTATTTCAGCCATCGTTCCCACGAGGTCCAAGGCAAACCCAGAACGAGAATGTGAATGTAAAATACTTTCCACCAGAGGTGGTATTCAGAAGGTTCTGACCAGTTCTGGAGTACCGGTAGTGGAAATTTTGAGCAGTTCAGAGAACCGGCAAATACCACCTCTGACTGGCCCCGCCCCCATCTATTCTCCGCCTCCCGAGTCCCAGCTGATTGGCTGGGTCTTCTTTGGTTGCCCTGCACAGGAGAACGGAGCTGGAAAGCAGGTTAATGGAATGGGGAGGCAATGGGATTTTGTACTATCCTTCCCCCAGCAGTGGGGAGGGGAATGGAGATTTTACAGTATCCTTCCCCTGCCACGCCCACCAAGCAACACCACACTCACCAAGCCATGCCCACAAAACCGGTAGTAACTTTTTTTGAATCCCACCAGTCCTTTTCACTCACATTCCTCCTTGATGATGAGTCTTAACAGTGGAAGACAAGAGTAGTCACCAAGACTCATAAGCTTTAGAAGGTTTTATCTTCTGTAACATCTTTTTCTCAACCTTGGGAACATTAAGATGTGTGGACTTCAACTGCCCAAGTAGTGAACCCAAAGCAAGGAAACACTCTTGGGAGAATTGAATCCCCCAAAGTAAAACTTCATGGGATATGCCAGGTTGGTACTGAAGAAATAAACCCAGCTTTCTTTTTCCCCACGTAATTGCTTGCCCAGTTAAACAATACTTTCTCCTTCTCCCCATTCCTGGATGATCACATTGTCCAATCATGAGACATCCGTTTGTTATGGGAAAAGTCCATCACTTTCTCAAGCACCTGCAGCGGTGAACTTGATGGCTTCCATGCTCTCACGATCTCTGCATACATTCTCCACATTCCATTTCACGTTTCCTCCCCGCAGTTCATTGGCAAGTTTGAAAAGCATTAAGGTTTGAAAGAAGCAAAGTGATTCAGTCTTAACATCAAGTCTCAGAATTCCTCAGCCAGCATATTGTCTACACATTTTAATGTTACTAAGGTTGAGGAACACTATTTTGTAGGTTTGTTGAATCTCCTTCCCAAAGTGGCAGTTCATACAGAGCCGTTAGAAATGAAGGCCATACTTAAACAATGTGATGTATAAAGTCATGTTTCCATGGCTATTTTCCTTGCATTGTTTGGGCCTGGATACAAGAAATATGAGAATGAGGCTTTTAGATGTGCCCTTTATCAGGCAAGCACCCCGTTTCAGTCCCTGAGTTTATATTTGTTTGCAAAAAAACAAAAACAAAAATACCACAACCCATTAAGCTGGGGAAAAACAAAACAAAATACCAGTATATTTTTTTCCATAGATACTGTAAACCAAAAGAGTGATAGAGAATGTGAGTGAAGGGGCTTCGGAAAGTACCAAGCTGCAAGAAGAAATAACTAGCTTAACTGCAGAAGTAAATAATTAAGTAACAGGAAAGTACCTACAATTCCAAGGACCAGTGGTGGGATTCAATTTTTTTTACTACTGATTTTGTGGGCATGGCTTGGTGGGTGTGGCAGGGAAAGGTTACTGTAAAATCCCCATTCCCACCCCACTTCATGGGAAGGTTACTGTAAAATCCAATTCCCTCCCCACCCCACTAACCTGCTTTCCAGCACATTTCCACTCATTCCAGTGTTCCAGTATTGGTGTTCACTCACATTGACATACTTTCTAATTATGTATTTGATTTCAATTTCATTGTACACATGTTGTGCATTGATAATAAACGTTTGACTGATGTAGGTTGCTACTATATATTACATATTTGTTTCTGCATTCAAAATAAACCAAATATTTACAAGCGTAACAAACAGTATTTATCTGATCTTACTATAGCTCCTACATATCCTTCACCTATCAGTTTTGCGTCTACCTTCCAACCAATTGTACCATAAATTCCAAATCTCATAGTACTCCATTTCTTCTCTGTCTTTTAATTCCATCGATAACCTATCTATCTCTGCACATTCTAAAACCTTTTTTATTATCATTATGTCGGAAGGAGTATTGTCCTGCTTCCAGTTCTGGGCAAAGGCAGTTCTGGCCACGGTTATTATATGTATTATGTATTGGAATTTGTACAGATATTATATTAATATACCCAATAAAAATGTATCTGGTTTCATCACGATTTTTGTTTTGTAATTTCTTCTAGCCAATTCTTAATTTTGAGCCAATATTTCTTAGCTTTGGGGCAAGTCCACCACATATGGAAGAAAGTTCCTTGTTTATGGTCACATCTCCAGCATTTCGCCGATCTGTTAGGGAACATTTTAGCCAATCTTGCTGGGGGTAAATGCCAGCGATAGAACATTTTATACAAGTTTTCTTTGTAGGCTGCTGACATTGTTAGCTTACAATTTATCTCCCATAATTTTCCCCAATATTCCAATTCAACACTATATCTAAAATGTTTGGCCCAGGTTACCATGGTCTCCTTAACTGTTTCTTCCTCCATTTTAAATCTTAAAATATAGTTATACATTGTGGTGATCATTCCCCTCCCCCCGCCCCATGTAATATTTTATCTAATTCCTGTTGATCTTTATAAAAACCATATTGCTCTAAATCTTTTTTGTACCTCATCTGGGTTTGTAAATATGGCCACCAATCTATCTCTATTCCTTATGCTTTTAACTCTTGATTAGATTTTAGTTCCCCTTGCTCATCCAATAACTCTTTATATCTGACTATCTTGTTTATATCTAATACATTGGGATATATCATTGCCTCCATAGTTGATAGCCAGGTTGGAATTTTCACCAACTCTCTTCATACTCTACATAAATGACCTCTGTGATCATATCAAGAGCAACTGTGTTCTCTTCGCTGATGATGTAAAGCTATTCAACACCACAGACAATACTGCTACCCTTCAAAAAGACCTTGACTATGTATCAGAATGGTCAAACAAATGGCAACTCATGACCCTCTGTTGTTAGTACTCTTTTGTTGTTTAAATTTATCAGCAGACACCTTGATTTTTGCCCATATACCATAGACCCCTGGCTAGCGACACTGACAATATGCATGGATGTTTTTTTGCATTCGTTTAAACTTTGCATTATGATTCAGAACTTTTTCGGAAATGAAAATAAACTCTGGATCGCTGACCGCCAAAAGACTTTCAATCAGCATAGAATTAGAACGGAGAATATATAGAATGAATAAATAGACAGTAAAAATAGACAGACCTAAATATTTACTCCTGTATTTAAAAGCATACAAAAATGGCCAGCAAAGCATGCAGCCTTCTCTTCCCTATGATGAGTTTCAATCTACCTTGAAACTGTAAAATTTATCAGCATAAGCCAAGCCATTAAAACCATCTGATGTTAATTGTGAAATTAGAAACTGATTCAGTCCCACTAGCGAAGAAGCCTTTAATGGAGACTTGGCTTAATTTAAGGAGAATAGATACATCCATCACTATTAAAGGTTTAAAATATTTATGAAATGAGAAGGCGGCATGGAATGTTTGAACGAGAAGGGCTGTATTTCTAAATAACATTTGTCGGGAAGCAACGGGGAAGCTGACTCTTTTCTTCCATGAACTCTTTCCTAGAAGCCTCTAGCTGGCAACTGTGAAAAGAAGAATAGTGAACATAATGGGGCTCGATGTAATGGAGCTTGCCTTCTTTTATCTTCTTCATGGACAATGTTTACATTTTGATCCGCATCCAATTCTGCCTTTGGTGGTGACGAAAGAAATTGACATGTCACCATTTGCATTTAACCCTGATGAGGATCTAATTGGGGAGAGACAACTCCCTTCCCTTCCTTTCCCTGTTGTAGTAGTGCTTTGGGCTTCTAAAATCTGAAGGGTGACATGGTGTTTAAAACTTGCAGACAGCTACAACTAGACGAGTTTATTGTCACATTTGAGCATCCTCTGAAATGGGCCATCTTCTCTAGATGATGCTCCAAGCATTCTACATTTCTGATATGTATCCTATTTATTTCCACTGTTTCTAATGATGATACTATCCAAGATGAATGCCTTTATTACAGAAAACAGAGAAAGCGAGAAAGATTCTGCCAGCTCTATTCTTCGCTATTTTTGCTATCTGTTTAGTTTCCATTGAAGGGTAAAAAAGAAGTATGTCCTCTCTATCCCCCTTGTTTGCACAGTAAGGTGTTCGGGTCGTGGTGAGTTGTTCCATTCTGAAGGTGTTCAGTTAATTAAAGAGCATAGTATTACCATGTCAAACACCGAATCTTTGAGAGACTTCCTTAGAATTGCATTTCAGAGTTTGTAGCAATAACCAGACACAATTCCGCTTGGCTCCTGGTTAAAATAAAGGCAAAGAATCTGTTGCTTATGACCCACTTTGACCATCTTTCAGAACTGGAAATGTGATGTCAGAAATTATAAATGCATTGGTTGGGAAATGTTTAAGCAATGTGTTATTTATGACAAAAGTTGGAGAAAGCTGAGAGGCTTCAATTGCCTGTTAAGGGTTTTCTCAGCTGGTTACATCGTCCTCTGACTGCTTCTTAAGTTGGAGCCAACATGTTAAAGCGCTGTTTTTCAAACTTGGCGATGTTAAGATGCGCGGACTTCTGCTATTGGATGTTTGATGGTATTAGATGTATCGTCTCAGGATATAAGACATTCTGAGCAAAACTGACAATGATTTTGTCAATGCCAATGGCGTTCAAGTGATAATCCAGTTCTTTGGGGATTACTACTGGTACTACCTTTGCTTCCTTTTGCCACAGTCATTCTATTTCTATTTGCAGGTAGCAGAAAAACAGAATAACAGAGTTGGAAGGGATCTTATCACACAACTTTTGGAGGCAAGTTATTCCACTGATTAATTGTTCTAACTCTTAGGAAATTTCTCTTTAGTTTTAGGTTGCTTCTCTCCTTGATTAGTTTCCATCCATTGCTTCTTCTCCTGCCTTCAGGTGCTTTGGAGAATAGCTTGACCTTCCTCTTTTTTTGTGGCAGCCCTTCAAAGATTGGAAAACTGCCATCATGTCCTCCCCAGTCCTTCTTTTCATTAAACTAGACATATCCAATTCCTGTAACTATTCCTCATATGTTTTAGCCTCCCCTAATAATCTTTGTTGCTCTTCTCTGCACTCCTTTTGTATTTTTCTATCTTCTCAAACTCCTTCCACTATTTCCAGGTTCTGCCACATCCCCAAGCCAGGCATTTTTGACTTATCAACAATTGTTAAATCTGAGTGTTATGTGGCAGGTGCCTGCCTGTTTAAATTCTAAAATCTCAGAGAACATTAGTGTCTTCATTTTCTGTTACTTCCTCTGTTTTATGGTCTCACCAGTTCTTGCTTGCAAGCAAATGGTATTTTTTTGTAGATCTTCCAATGCACGATTGTTGGTAC